GCTCTTCCTGGACAGAATGAATAGTCAAAGAATACCTGACAAAGGGTATTTATCCCTAAAAGCTTGCCAAGAAGAAGTTTTCAAACTATTTGAGTTGGTCTAATAAAAGATATAAGATTTACCCAAAGAACCTTGTCTGCCTATGTCCTTAGACCAACATGACTACAACCTATACCCATAAAAGCTGTAGGACACCCCAACAAACCTTCAGTCCATGGTGGGGTTTATAACTGTCCATGAAAAAGCCATTCCATTTTCATTCTTTTGAGTGAGCAAATCTTCTGTAGAGATAGAGCAGTGGCCTTGAACTGGCTATACATAATACTCAAGAGCCAAATGGTTACAAATGAAACACTTTTCTGAGTGGTGCATGTTCCCAAAACAGATATTTGCCTCATTCCAATTTATTTAAAAGGAGGTAATGTTGTGGGATAAGCATCTATACCAGTGGTTGTCAACCATTTTAGACTCTAAGCACCCCTTTAACTTTTGTGAATTGAGCACCACCCTATTTCAAAAGTTACATTTTTATTACATCCTTGAACAGAGGCCTGGTTGAGGAGGGTAAGGTGGGGGGAAGAAGCAAACAGGGATGAGCGTACTTATGTCCTTGCAAAGGGGCTGGGCAGTTCTGGGGGCGAATGGAAGAGCAGCAGCCAGGCAGAAATGGGCATGTGCTTACCACCTTGCACAGGGGAGGCTTTTAGGATGGTGGGAAGGGAGGAGGAACAGCCTGGCAAAGATGGGCATGTACTTACCTCCTCATTCCCCACAGCACCCTTCAAAAGGATCTCACATCACCCCAGAGTGCTACAGCACCCCAGCTGAGCATTACTAATCCATACTAACACCAGCAATCCTCTTCTCATCAGCCACTAAAGATGGCAAATGAAAAAGTACAAAGCAGTAGTCTAACCACAAGAAGTACATCTAAGTGGCCTGGGTAGAACCTTGTGTTAGTACAGCAAGCATTATTGCAGTACCCCAGGCAGATAAATAGCTATTAGAAAGCAATACTTTAATTCACTACCGATGTGGACCAGACTGAAACTCAACATGTAAGTTAGAAGTTTCACATCTCACAACTAAACCCCTAAACGCTAAAGGATAGATTTAAAGATGAGAAGGTGGGGATTTGTTAGTCTTCAAAAACTAAAAGCACTGTTATAAAGAGTATGCCAGTAAACTGACCTGTGTCTATAGCGGACAACAAACAAAGAAGAAAAAGGGTTTAAACTGCAACAAGGGAAAAGTGGGTTTAGAAGACTGTATGGAAAAAAAATGCGCAGAGATGTTGTGAAATCTCTATCACTGGAAGCTTTAAATACAGATCAGAAAAAAAACCTTTGAGATCATTTAGCAGGGGGTTTTTTGGTTATATCTTTTATCTGATCAACAACATAGCTGAGAGAAATCTCAGACATGCTCTCAGGCACATGGGCTTGAGAATTGTACTGTGTTCAAACAGAGCATTTTGTGTTTGAGAGCCCAACATGAATCTTTTATTAGACAATCTATATTATCAGAAGATAACCATCTAAAAAACCTTGCTCCTTTACTGGACCATCATCACTCCAATCCTACTACAGTACTGAAATGGTTTAGAACAGTGGTGTACCACCTTTCTAGGCGGTGGACTGGATGAGCAGTAGAGGGTCGCCCCGTGCTACAAGAGTGGATCAGGCCCGCTGCCCAGCTCTGTGCGCCAACCCTGTTCAGCTCATGGAGTCTTGTCATCTGTCCTGTGGGGCTTGTAAATTTGACAACAGGGAAGCAGTGGCAGCATTAACTGCCACCATTCCCTTTGCCAAATTGTTGGACCTGTCGACCACTCTCCTTGCCAATTTTGTTCTTGGGCTGAATGACAGAGCTCATTGGGCCAGATCTGGCATGTGCTGAAGGTTGAGTACCACTGGTTTAGACAGAGATGGTGCTACCTTCATAGTAGCTAGGGTCAGGAGGTACCTGAACAGATCATCTAGCTTGACCCCTTGCCACAGGCAGGAATGAATGCTGGGTTCAGAAGACCCCAGACAGGTGATCATCCAATCTCCTCTTGAATTTGCCCAAGGTAGGGGCGAGGACCACTTCCCTGGGAAGCTGGTTCCAGATTTTGGCCACCCTAACTGTAAAATATTGCCTTCTGATCTCTAACCTAAACCTATTCTCCATCAGCTTATTACCATTCTTCCTTGTCACCCCAGGTGGTGCTGGGGAGAAAAGAGCTCTGCCTATTTGCTGTTGATCCCCCTTGATGAGCTTGTAGGCAGCCACCAGGTCACCCCTCAGCCTCCTCTTGCTGAGGCTGGACAGGTTCAGGTCCTTCAGTCTCTCCTCATAGGGCCTGTCCTGCTGCCCTCTCACCAAGCGGGAGGCCCTCCTCTGAACCCTCTCCAGGCTGGCCACATCCCTTTTGAAGTGTGGAACCCAGTACTGGACGCAGTACTCCAATTGCATAGAGGGGGAGTATCACCTCTCTGGACCGGCTTGAGATGCACCTTTGGATGCATGACAAGGTATGGCCGGCCTTGCTGGCTGCGGTCTGGCATTGGCGGCTCATGTTCATCTTGGAGTCAATAATGCCTCCAAGATCCCTTTCTGCCTCTGTGCTGATGCTGAATGGTAGCTGAGATTAAGCAATTTATCAAACAACTGGTAGTTTAGCTCCACTCCAACTGGAAGCTTGTTGGCGGTCAGATGTAGCATCACAGTAAGGAATATTGAGAAGAGTATTGGAGCAATGATGCAGTCTTGCTTAACTCCTGTCTTAACATCAAAGGGATCTGTGATAGATCTGTTACTGAGAAACCACTCTTCACATACCATCATGGAGCAGGCAAAGAATGGTGACGAATTGCGGTGGGCAATGCATCCGTAAATGCGGGTTAGCAGATTAGATTAACAATTGTTTCAGGAACAACAAACAGAGCAGACTAAACCAGCCTTAAATATAGTATTCGATTTCAGAATTTCGTTTACAGTTATTTCAGCACAGTCTACATTACTAAAACTGTTAAAAAAAAATAATGAGCCAAACTAGGAGGAAAGGGAATGACTACCTAGTTATCAGAAAAATAAACTATGCTCCATAATGTCTTTCAAAATACTTACGTAATCATCAATTACATACTTCAGCAATTGCAAATTTCACTTTCTTTGCATCTTTAATAATTAAGAACTTTTATTTCATTTGACAAAGTGAAGGGGAAAAAAACTATACATTTATGACATGCATCACAAAAGCAAACATGGTTTTAGTTATCAAATACTTTGTTAACCTTTAAGCAGCCACAGTAATCCTCCCAGTTTGTTGATAAGGAGATCTAAAGTTGAAGAAATGTATTTAACCAAAGGAATATTCTGATGGGGTAACTCAAATGGAATCCAGTTAAACTTCTAATGTAAATTGCTAGTAAAAAACCCTTAGGGGTTTTCTTTTTGTCTGTTTTACTAAATTAGGTTTTAAGATTTTTTTCAAGTTACAAGAACCAGAGGAGCTACTTTTTAGTCAGATAAAGAAAGGAAGCTTCCAAACATTGTGAAAAATTCAGATTTTAATAGCAGTCTCTCTTTAGATACATACTGCTTCTTGCACATATATTAGATAAAATAATAATCTAACACTGTAGAAGTAACTTTTAAAAAAACAGGGGTAGAAAATATGAACTAAAATCTTAAATATATCAACTAAATCTTTAAGTTTACACATCTAATATAAGAATACCATACTAAGAAGTAAGGTATCTTAGTTTTCAAGTTCTGACTTTTAGTTTTGATGTTCAATATTGCAATGAGTTAATTATTAACTTTTTTTTTTTTAATTTAGTAAGGAAAAAATTCAGAAGCTTCAAACCAATTTAAATGCCTTTACTTAAGGTTAAACCAAGGAAACCCTATAGCTAGAGGGTGTAGCTGATTTTTAAAAGGTAACTTTCAAAATCACTAGTTTTTAATTGCACAGTGCCCCCTACTGCAAGTCCATAAAACATCACAGTTATTTCCAAATTAGATATTTGATTTCATACTCTGCACCCAATTTTTTTTTAAATATCTAAATTTACATTTTATGTCATTTAGTTAATTTGTTTCTTTTATGCAATTAAAATTAAGTGATTTGCTTAAAGCTACTCCTTAAAAAGGTAGAAGTAACTACATGAAAGATCCCTTAAGTTTGGGGCAATATAGTAATTATCCACTAAATTCTATATAATGATTAAAAAATAAATAAAAAAGAATTGACAGCTTCAACTTTGTTTTATGTACAGAATCAATGAACCCTTATAGGTTTTGTTCCTAATAATTTTAATAGGACTAGCCAAGAAAGTAGGATATCAAAAATAATTTTTAAAAAAGGAAGAAAAAATGACCCCTGCACATTGAGGCTTACACTCTGAAAATGCTGCTGAAAAGTATTCTGTTCTTAGTTTGTACAATGAGGAAGACAGACTTTGAAGTCAATGCCTACTCATACTAGTCATCCCATTTTCAAAGTCAGTGGACTGTCTCCACATGCAAAGGAAGGAAAATTTAGCCAAGTGTCTAGAAGAAAGCAGTGCATCTACTATAGCACATATCAGAATGCTGTCAAAAACCACCAGCTAGGTAACCTTTCAACCCTCCAGCTTGGTGCAAAGATGAGCAGACAAAAATTTGTGCAATCACATCATGCAGACTGCAGCCACAGCCAGATCAAGGCAGATTTCATCTTATCTTACCTATACTTGGCATAGATGTTAGTGACTGGTCACTGAGTCCTGGAAGACAAATACCACTACTCACCACCCTCCCTTTTCTCTCCCCAAAAAGCAGATGGAATAACTGAAGAGATCCAATGGCTAGCCATTAAGTGTCTGCAGCTCCAGTTTCCTCTATTACTAACTGAGAAATATATTTTCCAAATACAGGTACCAGTTTCAGAATTAGTGAAGGATATAACAGCACATAGTAAGCTGCAATTCAGCCCCAAAAATTGAGCTATTCCAAACAGCTAACATACTTACCTACGAATGCCTTCAAGAATATCATTCACAGCTGCCATCAATTTCTGTAGACCTAAGAAAGCTTCTTCAAACGATGTCTTTGCAATGGTGCTGATAATACTTGGGTTCAACTTCTGGAAAATGTCGATACTAAGAAAGACAAAACACAGTGGAAACATTCAGTCTCAAGAAGCTAGTAAGAACACTCCTGTTTTGCTTCCTATTATGGAAAAGGAGAAGCACTTCAGTACAACTCCACCACATATTGTATTTTGACTAAGGGAAGAGAACACCATACTCTAGAAGGTTAAATACAGATAAGAGATACATCTGTGCACTTCAAAACTACCAAACATAGTAGAAAATTATTTTGTTTGCGTAAATTTATTTATTAAAGGTGCTTAAAAATAACAGACCCCAGCAATTCCACAGTTCTACAACAAAAAAGCATATTACAGAGAACCATTTTTAAATAAATTAACACTGGATGATAGTTATATAGTATCCTTCACCTGCAGGTTTCAAATGAGTCTCAGAAAACTACCACTACACCTATTTTCATCCATGCATTTATATGCACAATTTCAGATTTATACAAGCTAATGGTATGGCAGTGAATCCCATAAATAGCTTTTAGGCATCTTGATTAAAAATGAAACCCTAAATACATTTTTGTTCTAAGCCTACTAAGGGCAAGCATTTAGTTAAAATTAAAAGGAGAACTAATCAATGGGAGGGCCACACACCTTTGCATTTTCACCATTTTTTTAATTGTTTGTATAATATAGTTTAAAAAGAATACAGCTTAAGTTTTAAAAGACTTGGTTATAATAAATAACACAAAAATGAGTCTGTAAGGAAAATAACCTTGTGCCTTATCTTAATCATTGATAAACTTTAAGACAGTGATTTCTCAACCAAGGTGCTACAAGATCCTTTTAGCAGTGCTGTGGGGTATCACGCAGTATTAGATGTGCATATACGTGCACATGATGCACAAAATAAACCCAGGGATTTCAAATAGGAATCTCTCACGTCAAAAACATTCTGACCCACTGTGGTCTTCCTGAATTCTTTACAATGGAAGAATTACTCTATATTTCTTTAATCAAGAAATGAGTGAAACTAAGAGCCAGCACTAGCACTAAATCAGTTTATTGAACTTCTGTCCCAGATCCCCTCCAGATTCAAGTTAACTCATGGTCCCCCCAGAATGATTTGCATCTCCCCTGCAACAACCCCTCCCCCTTCCCCCCCAGCTGCAGGGTGGTGGGATAGCCTTGGCCCAAGCTATCTGCTCCACCAAGCAGGGAGGCATGCTCTAGTGCTCCCCAGCTTCTGGCCTGGGCCACTGCAGGCTCGTGACTGCATTTCTGGAATCAAGAAGTGACTGAGTGTCTGTTCACTTTCACTTGCTTATCAATTCAAACGATGCAGCTTAGACCACTGTTTCCCAACCAGTGTGCCACAGCACAAAAGTGTGCCGTCAGAAATTAACAGGTGTGCCACAGAATTTTGCCATGGCAATGAGCTGCAATAGGTATGAGGATATGGCATGCCTTAACAGGTGTGCCATGAAAATTTTGTATTAATGCAAGTATGCCTTGGGCTGGAAAAGGTTGGAAAACACTGGCTTAGACTAACCTGCAAAGATCAAATTGATTCAGCCTCAGGCTTTCTGACTGCCTGTACTTACTCTATAATCAATGTATACATGGCAGAGAGAGACAATATCCAAACATATGCATGGTGGGACATGAAGGACTAATAGCACGTTAAATCTGAACTCTTTCAGCATGTCCTACCTGTACAGGTTTATCGTATTCCAAACACTTTCAAGCACGGACCAGATTTGCAGATGTCTGTTATCTCGGGTGAGCTGGGCATCTGACAATGATTTGCCTTCTTCACAAGTCTGCTGGTGTAGTGTCACATCTTCCATTTTTTCACATGCAGCATTTTCTGAAACATCTTCAGGGGCTTCTGACTTATGGTTATGATTTGACACATCCTTATGAAAAAGATGATCATAAAATAGATGTCATAAGGAGCTAATTATTCTAAGTGTTTTTACACAGACAAGTGCTGAGAATCTCTGACAATTATAAACCAGGGCTGTTCAAAATCTAGACAGTGTGGGGCTGCACAACCTATAAGCTGTAGAACCTTAGGCCACACACCTGGTGGGTCCTCCCTCAAATCCCACCTGTAGCTGCACAAGCAGCCCAGCTCTCCCCCACTGCATGAGCAGCACAGTCAGCCTGACTCCCCTCTGCTGTGCAGGTACAGCAGTCTCCCTTTTGGTCACACATGCGGTGTGGGCAAACTGGCTGCCCTCTAGCTGCAGGTAGTGCAACCAACCCAGCTCTCTCCTCACCATGTGGGAAGCATGACTAACTCAGCCCTTTCTTTACTGTGCAGGCAGAGTGACCAGGCTGGCTCCTTTCCACTGCACAAGTAACACAGCTTCCCTCCTGGCCTCAGGCAAAGTGGCCCCTCTTGCCATACGACAGCCTAGATCTTTCCCTGCTATTCATGTAGCACCTTCCTGTTGCCCAGCCCTCCACAAGCAGGAGGAGGAGAGAGAGAGACTGAAGATTCCAGCCACCACTGCAACAGTAGGAGCGGGGGTGAGAGGGTGGGAGCCAATACATATTTTATAATACTTGGAAAGTGCCCCATATTCCATGCAAAGTGCTACATTGAAACAACACCCATGACAAAGGAAAATCCCCTCCCTTCCTCCCCCCACCTGTAAAAATGGAAACATCAAGTCAATGAATACTAAAACAACTTGCTCAGCATTATAGCTTGCCATGATCAAACCTAGGACTAGAAACCTTACAGTTCTAAAATCTATTACTTCCAACTAATGACAAATTCATAGATTCATAGATGCTAGAGTCAGAAGGGACCTCAACAGATCATCGAGTCCGACCCCCTGCCACGCAGGAAAAAGTGCTGGGGTCAGATGACCCCAGCCAGATGCCTATCCAGCCTTCTCTTAAAGACCCCCAAGGTAGGGGAGAGCACCACCTCCCCTGGAAGCCCATTCCATGTGTGAGAAAAATCTAACTAAGAGATATGAGACTGAAAACCCAAAGTCAACTGATAGAATCTGAGAAGACACTTAGAGGGCCTTCTGTCCAAAGCTATGGTCTGACCTACTGTCCATATGGAAGAGCAGTAACAACAGGCAAGAGAAAAAAATGCCTTTGCTTCCTGTTTTACATGAAACTAAAGGTGGGGGGAAAGGTCACGAGAAAAAGACAAGCTACTCTTTTGTCTTTCCCCATTTTGAAGCAAGGATTTGAATTGCATTTAATTTCCCCTCCATAACAAACATGGATTTGGTGAGTAAATCACTGTGTTACCCCAACATTGAGTTCCTGTCCAAAGGCTCTGTTTTAATAAGCCACAGAAGTTTTATTGGGTGTACTGCTGCGGTTATTTCTACAAGAAAAGGAAGGAATATTGATATCCTAGCTGAACAGCAGCTATCAAACTAATTTTTTTGCCAAAAGTCAAACAAAGTAAATTCACTTTTTGGTCCCCAACCTGGTTTTGGAGAATCAACAAGAAAGGAATTTCATTGCAGATCTGTATTTTGCATATGGGCTTAAGTTTCTACTCCACCCAAGAGAGTACACATACACCAGCAGATTCTCCCTATGCCTAGAGAAGGGAGCCTGAAAGCTTGTGAAGAACAATTTTTCCAACTATTTACTTTGTCTAACAAAGATACCAGATTTACCCTGTCACAGAGTGGCAGGCTGCATGCGCTGGCTCTGCCGTGGGTGGGTTCTGGGAAGCGTGACAGGATCCCGAAGTGATATGACAGAATGCCCAGTAAGGGCAGAAAGTGGCCAGTATTTACCTGCAGATGTGGAGCCAAAAAAGATGAAGCAATAAGCGGTGCCGCTGCTGCAGTTTATAAGCACCTGCTCGCTGAGGCTTCAGGGATGTGCAGAACATGGCATCACAGGTCTGCACCCATTGACATGTACAAAAAGGCAAATGGAGCCAATCAGGAGGAGAAGAGCACACCTACATTCCACGCTTCAACGAGGATAGTGGTAAGAAACTGTGCTGGTTCCCCAGCTTGGAGACCCAGAGGGGTCTCCAGCCACCTGGGCGATCCAGGGCTGCATGGAAAAAAAGGCCCTTTTTGGAACCCAACACCCTGACACCAGAAAAGTGTAGCACCAATAGGAGGTCCATGCCAGGGCACAATGAGGGTGCAGGCACTTTCTTAAATAGGTTATTTTGACTTATCCATCAAGACTGATTTGAAAGACGTAGCCTTGTAATGTGGGTAAGGAGCCTCGGCTCTAAGGGAGAACAGGGCTCTGAATATTGGACACAAGTGGGGGAATTAACTGAAGCTAAAAAGGCTGAACATCCCAGCTGATTGGGAGAATGGAGCCAGAGGGGAACTCCCTATGAAACAAATCAAATTTGGTGTCAGTTAAGTGCCTGATTAATTCATCTATTTATTTGATTGTTTGTTTATTTCTTCATGTGAGCCTATGAATTAATTAGAGCTCCATGTGTTTGAGAACTCCTGCGGACTAAGGATGGACTGTTAATCACATACAACCTGTATAATGCCTAGGCAGGGCTAACTGTATTCAAAGGCCTTCAAATGCTGTTGACAGAATCCCGGAGTAGCTTACAGGTCTGACAACCCACTAATTTAAGGGGGCCAAGAAGATCAGATTTTATCCATCATCAATGATAGAACTCT